CCCCAGCCACGATCTTCGAGCGCGCGCGCTCCTCTCTCAAGTTCTGGCGCAACCTGGAGCTAGCCGACGGCCGCCCGAACCTACGCCGCTGGTTTGCCGCGCGGGACGCCTGGGAGCCCGCCACGTACCTGCAGAGCGACGACTGAACCCACATCGGCGCCCTGCCGCCGCAGATCGGTCCGGTGTCCTTCCTGCGCACGCGGAGCCCGGTGTCGCTGGCCGTCGAGACGGCCCACAGCAAGCACGTGCTCAACGATGGCCATGAGGGCGCCCAACACCGTAAGCAAGCCGCCGACGCCATCTGCCGCAACCACGCCGCTGTCACGAAGGACGCCATGCGCGGCGTCAAGGGATGCCCGGACGAGTTTCATAGCGTCACGGACTTTGCTTTCAGGGTGCTTAGCGAGGTCCTGTTGGACCCGTCTAAGCTGGAGGAGGCGGAGATCCGGGTTAGGGAGACTGTTAAGACCGAAGAATGGGTCATGCTTGGACAAGCTCTTCGGTTTGAACGAGTGAGATGCTGCTCGGAAAAAGTTGGGGGATACATGGTGGTGCAATTCGTTCATTCATTGGGTGACTATGGAGGTAGGATAAACTATATTGGTTCCGCCCTGTTCACTCTTGCCGACATGAGCAGCCGAAATGATTTTTTCGAATGCTGATCGCGCCCCTCATGCGATTTTCCCGAGTGATGTCCTCCACTAGAACGAGCTCCGACTTTTTCACCTGCTCTAATACTGCAGCCTCTGATAGTGAAGGCGTGCAATTGTTGGCATGCAGCTTAGCGCGTACTGCTGAACCCGTCTTGACACTGGTCGTGCAAATCCGAACTTTACGTAACCTATCAGGGCAGAAATATTAGTCTAGCATTCCCGCCATATCATCATCGTCACTGTCGAAATCATCTTCCAAATCTTCTGTTTGATGTCTCCACTCATTGGTGCCGCTTAGCACAGCGCTTTCGCTGCTGTCAATGTCTTGCGGTGCAGAAATGTTTAATCTGGCGAATGTCTCTTTGGAGATTTTCAACACCCCACTGATAACCTTCTCTTTCTCCGATCTACCCGGTAACATCTCTCGCAGCGTGATTTCGGGTATCAAAGATTGGGTCCTCTCACTTGTCACGTCACCACTGACAGCTGTTGCCTCATCATGCGTTGCCGTTGTACTTGAAGGATTGTAGTTCGCCCGAACAGAGAACAATTGCCTCAGAAACTGAGCAATCCGATAGATTGTTCGAAGCATTGACGCATGTGATCCAAGAGTCATTTCCTCACCACAATGGCAATAGGCGCAGACGAAGCGCAGAGCAATTCGCAAGATGTTAATGTTGCGCTTGATCTCTGTGACACGGTTTTCGCCGTTCGAACCACCAGTGACGGTGACCTGATAAGTCGCCTGTATCACCAGGTCTTTGCTTTCCGATATAAGAGCAGCCAGAAGCTTCCGATTGGTGACGGATGTGTGTGTATCCCACCCTACAGTAGTGTCAGGGATCTCGGAAGCGGGGACGGATTCCGCATCACTGTGCAAAAATCGAAAGGTGGGTGACGAGTGAGAGCGATGGAAAGAGTCATATTCACTCCAGTTAACCAGTAGAAAGAGGCCGCTCTCGAACATTTTGACCTTTGAGCGATCCCGAGAGATTCTCAAACAGTCGTTAATAATAGTGACGATCCTCTTGCATATGAACAGATGTTTGCGCCTAGTGGGGCAGGAGGGATCCGGAGGTAACTCGGCCTTCACGCACTCGTGATGCATTCGCGCGGTGTGCAGCGTTTGCTTGTCCAAAACACCTGGTTGCAGCCAAGAAGGCTTCGTAGAAACATAAACATCAATTCTGTTGCGGTCAGCATCCCTATCAATAAAGGCTTTGGTTGTTGTAAATTCTGCCTCATATGCTCGTATACTTTCGTCGGAGAGATTTCTTGCGTTCATCACCGCACGTTTGGCTGTACTGAAGCGAAAACTTGCATGCTTTTTGCCCAGTCCGTGTTTGAATTCTGAACGAGGTTTGTTATGTTTGAGCCCGAACAAGAGGACGCTGACGACACGCGATGTCATCCGGGGGTCATCCTGGTTATTGTGATAGACATCCATAAACGAAGATAGAGTCTGTGCAAGCGATCTTGACACGGTATCCGCGTTCACTGCCGCATTGATTTCGATAATAACTGTGGGGTTGTCTTTGAGAACGTCCTTTTCCAGGTTCTTAGTTGCACCTTTCCGAGACCCTCCCTGCACCCTTGATCGAGATGGTATTCGCGAACTACCTGCAGAGCTTTGAAGAATGAGGAGTTTGATGTCCTCTAAACTGGACGCCGTATTGGCATTGCTTTTCACTAGGTCCGATAATGTGGCATTGCAGCTGGCCAGCTCTTCTGCCAACCTCTTGTGCATTGCCACTATGGATCGCTGCAACTCAGTGCTCTCAAGCGCGGATGAATTCGATCGGGGTGCGTGCAAGGTAGGGTTCGAACGTGCGGCAGGCTGTAACTCGGTGCTCTCAAGCGCAGATGAATTCGACAGGGGTACCCGCCCAGTAGGGTTCGAACGTGTGGCCTCAGTCTGAGAGGGTCTTAGTCTTCGACGCTTCTCGGCGCTTCCAATTCCGGCCTGTAATGGCAATGGACGCCTCTTATGCGCGGACACTGTACGTCGCAGACCCATGTTTCCTTGTGCTTCTTTTTGGGGGCTGGATGATGGCGAAGCTATGACTTGGAATGAAGGTCCCACAGAATCTGTCCGAAATCGCAAACGGGAAGATCTCCGCCGTGTCTTATCTGCACCCAAAGACGCTGGTGTGTGTGATTGAAGGGAAGAAGGTTCTGTAGTGTGAAGAGGTTGGCGCGGTGATGAAGGAGGCGACGACGTGTCTGGAGAAGGAGGTCGGTGAGATGCGAGAACGGCTGATTTCGCGCGAGGGGGTAACGAAGATTGCAGATTTGACGGAGGAGGACAAGTGGTGCGTTCGGAAGTCGAAATGTTTTCCTGGGGTGTGAGGAGTGCCTTCGAAGTTGAAGGGATGTTTTCGGAACCCCTATGCGTAAAACGCCGTACATACCGCCTGAAAGAATTGCCCATCACGTTGGGAAGCGCGGCAAACTCGAACTGCGACTGTTTGTGCAGATCACTTAACTGTTTCGCGGGAAAACAGTTTTCAGAAGTATGTATGAGTTGATTGCAAAGACAGCTTCTACCATGCCCGCCACTTCCACCATTCGCACGCTGCGCCGCCCGCGCGCGCCACCCCCGGGGCCGATGTGCCGGCGCTGCGCGCCCGCGCCGGCCTTCGCGCTGCCGCCGCCGGTCTTGGCGGGCGTGCTGGCGGTGGTGTCCGTGTCGGTGACGCTGCCCTTCAACACACTTCTGCCGCCGCGCGCGCGCGTCTCGCTGCCGCGCCTAGCGCGCCGCCTGCGCCTGCTGCTGCCGCGCGCGTCGCGCCGCGCGTCGCGCCGCCCGCCGCCCG